ACAAACTCTCGCGGGTAACTGAGAAATTACGCAGCAGAATGGACACAAAAACTTGGACGCGGCAGGGATATGTGATATTCCTCGGCAGTTGGTGCATTCACTACGAGAGCCCTTCTTGTGGATCGGAACCACAACAGATTCTCCTCATGAGTTAGGAACCTTCTCATCGCTCCATACTTTGGTGAACAGTGATAGAATTTCAGTGACAACTATGTTCCCCCAATCTTCAAATAAAGCAGGAAGAAGGCTATCTAGGTCAGGAGCTTTGTGGCATTTCTGAGTCTCGATTTCTCTCCGCATTTCTGCTTCAGTGGGAGGATCTATGCAGACAGACCATGGATCACATGATGATAATACCCGCTAAAAACATAATCTGCTGCAATCGCGACCAATGCTGATCAACATCCCGTGGGGGCGGAGAAGTGAGGTTATCACGTTCTACGTGCCCTATACTCGAACACTACAGGCAGCGTCAGTGTCTACGGTGAATTGCTGGATAGCTTTCCGACAACAACTGGTGTTCGTCAGGGTTGCCAAATTTGCCCATCGTTGATCAACTTCATCGTGCGCTCCATCATGGAGTGTTCCCCAGTGAAATCTCACGATGCAGACTTTGAGGCGCTGGCTGGTCGAAATCTAGTTGATCTTGATTATGCGGACGATATCGTCATGCTATTTAACGATGTTGCGGCGACCCAAACAAACGCGAATAACCTCTCGAGTGGTCCCATCGCTTGGCATGTGCTTCGCAACTTCAGTGCAGCGTTGTTACAGGATCACCAGCCACCTTACTGAATCTGTGACATCTGTGGCGTCAGAAAGGGTTTCCCTCCGTCTGAAAGACCGTGTTTACAAGATCACAGTGAGGGCCGCAATAATGTATGGGAGTGTGACTTGGCTCCTTAGACCTGAGGCGCTTTCAAGTTTGTGCATCGTTGCCTGCGAAACATTGTTGGTGTCGGATGGCACCAACGTGCCCACAACGGTGATATGCGTAGGCGAGTATTAAGCAGGGATAATCAGGCTAGTTTCCTAGAGTAACAGATAGATGTTTTGTTCAAAATTAAAAGTTACATGATAAACAGATGGTAGGAGCGTATTGAAGCCATATCCTCCTATTGCGGGCCAAATCCTCCGAGACTTCCAGTCACTGGGAATCCAGTTCACGTGGTCCAAAGCCTGGGAGACGCAGGGATCCAACTGACGATAGACACGAAACAAGAATCTTCATGGGCCTTTTGCAGGTCATTGGTTATCCGACACGGATCTTTTCCCATTCACGTCTAGGAAGTGCAAAGAATGCGCGACGTGGAAAGCGGTGGAGTGGCATGCGCAGTACGTGACCGAGGCAACGTAAGCTGTGCCGGATGAGTATAATCTGGGGACATGGACTGTTACCTCCCATGACTCTGGTTCTAATTTCCGCGTTGCTCACATGGTGCTGCAACCGTACGCGAGCAATCGAACGCAAACAGCGGTTGTCGAGAGTAGACAGTCATCCCAAATCTTCCGATCAAACAGGTCAGGCCTCACAGCCGTACAGTAGGACAGCACGGACTGTGGCATTGTACACTCGGCCTTTGAGCTTGAGAATGACATTGCGACTATGCCACAAATGTCTCAGGTTAGTAACGTTAAGCCGAGCTTGTCAATTCGTTGTGAAATTTCATGGCCAATACCGCCACAAGCCGTAACGCAACTCCCCACGTAAGTAAGGCTATTAACGAGCTCTAGGCTGGTACTCGAAATGGTGATCGTAGGTACACGCGCCTGCCAAACATGGAGCGAAGCTTTACACTTGGATGGAGCAAAATATGGACTCTACTTAGATGCCTCTATCGCTAAGCGGTTCAGAATGTTTTGAATAGTTTGTGAGTCGTCCCCCAGCAAACCGACGTCATTAGCATTGTCCAGGTCCACGACTCTGATCCCAGGTAGACGCTCAACGTCGCAGCTCTGGGCCCCTCCAGTGTGCGATGTAGGACATCTTCGATGACAAAGTTGAACAGGAATGGCAAGATAGCACAACCTTATCGCACTCCACTGGTAACAGGAAACGAAGAAGAAAGCCTGCCATAAGCTCTAACGTTGCCAGAGGTGTGACTATACAGCTCTTGCAAGAGGATGACAAACTTGTCGGGAACGTTGTTCTGTAGCATACAGTTCCACAGTGACGACCTAGCAATTGAGTCAAAAGCGGCTCGGATATTCCAAAAACACCACCATTGTTGGTCTTCGGTGGACATGACGATGTTCGAGAATTTGACGCAACATGAAAGTTTGGTCAATGCAACCACGGCCAGAACGAAAGTCAGCCTGTCCATCACGACACAAACTCTCGCGGGTAACTGAGAAACTACGCAGCAGAATGGACACAAAAACTTGGACGCGGCAGGGATATGTGATATTCCTCGGCAGTTGGTGCATTCACTACGAGAGCCCTTCTTGTGGATCGGAACCACAACAGATTCTCCTCATGAGTTAGGAACCTTCTCATCGCTCCATACTTTGGTGAACAGTGATAGAATTTCAGTGACAACTATGTTCCCCCAATCTTCAAATAAAGCAGGAAGAAGGCTATCTAGGTCAGGAGCTTTGTGGCATTTCTGAGTCTCGATTTCTCTCCGCATTTCTGCTTCAGTGGGAGGATCTATGCAGACAGACCATGGATCACATGATGATAATACCCGCTAAAAACATAATCTGCTGCAATCGCGACCAATGCTGATCAACATCCCGTGGGGGCGGAGAAGTGAGGTTATCACGTTCTACGTGCCCTATACTCGAACACTACAGGCAGCGTCAGTGTCTACGGTGAATTGCTGGATAGCTTTCCGACAACAACTGGTGTTCGTCAGGGTTGCCAAATTTGCCCATCGTTGATCAACTTCATCGTGCGCTCCATCATGGAGTGTTCCCCAGTGAAATCTCACGATGCAGACTTTGAGGCGCTGGCTGGTCGAAATCTAGTTGATCTTGATTATGCGGACGATATCGTCATGCTATTTAACGATGTTGCGGCGACCCAAACAAACGCGAATAACCTCTCGAGTGGTCCCATCGCTTGGCATGTGCTTCGCAACTTCAGTGCAGCGTTGTTACAGGATCATCAGTCAGTTGATGACCCCTGACACTTGATGGCGTGGAACTCGAGGCAGTTGACCAGTTCACCTACTTTGGCAGCTGCATCAGCAACCACTGAAGTCAGTTCATATAGTGCAGAAGCTAGAAGCACCTTACTGAATCCGCGACACCTGTGGCGTCAGAGAGGGTTTCCCTCCGTCTGAAAGACCGTGTTTACAAGATCACAGTGAAGGCCGCAATAATGTATGGGAGGGGGACTCGGCTCCTTAGACCTGAGGCGCTTTCAAGTTTGTGTTTCGTTGCCTGCGAAACATTGCTGGTGTTGGATGGCACCAACGTGCCCGCAACGGTAATATGCGTAGGCGAGTGTTAAGCGGTGATAATCAGGCTAGTTTCTTAGAGCAACTGATAGCAGTGTATAAGTTGTGTTGGCTTTGCACGTACTACGTGCGCTCGTTCCTCGCTTACGCAGAAGTGTTTTTTTGGGTTGCTACACTTGGGGTGGCACAAGGCCTGAAGTGGGCAAAAGTTAATTTATCAGCGAGAAATGGGGTCACCGACTACAAAACTGGGTGCCGGTGGTCCGTCTCGCCTTCCAGGCTGGAGTCTATGTGGCCTGCCTTTTGCTTGACTCGTGAAGTTACAGGACATATTTCGTAGACGGCACCAGTGGTGCGTCTGCCGTTACCTCGTAGTCGGACTGCCTGCTTAAAGAGTGGTTAGTGCTGAGTCATGTAAGGGATAATGGCTGATGACGACACGGAGCAGTGAAAGCCACAAGGAATCTCTTTCTCTGATGCCACTTCATCTTTGCACGATAGCCAACTGTTTGTGGTAGTGTGTTACTGACACAAGGTGTAGGCGCCTTGACCCAGATTGTTTGATCAGGGCATTGACGTTTTGCGCTAGGTCCACCTTCGCTCCCTGTCATTATTGTTTGTTCCGTAGGACACGTGGTTGGGTGGCTTCTAAGCATCGGTTTAAATGGCTGAGGTACTGCTGTTGATGATATTTATGACCAGTCGTGTTGGTTGGCCCCGGTCTAGTGGGTTAGGCACGAGCACAGATGCAGCGTGCATCGTGGTAATCGTGCCAGTGCTTTCTTTGAACACTTGACTGCGGTGGTCCTAGACATTGTTGGTCGTGGGGAAAGTAACGGAAAGCTGACTGTATCCCAGGTTAGATTAGTTACAGGGAACTGACGCTTGCTAGGGTGGGCATTGTCAGGAAATGTCTCCACAATGGACGACCCATGCTCAGTTGTCGAGTTAACAGGCTGGTTGCTTTTCATATTGATAAAATGGTGATATAAATTGCGTCGTTGTAGCGAAACACACTGCTACCGACTCAATGGGGAAACAGAACTCTTTTATATATGAGTACATTAATTAAGGCCGGACGATGTCGGAATTCCTAGCAAGCATTTTTATGCTGGATGTACTCAATACAGAGTCAAGATAACTCCACGTGTGAGTAATAAATCCCGATTCAGCAATGAAGTGAGCAGACGACAGACAACTCGAGCGCGTAGTGATCGAGTAGGTGAGTTCCAGATGAAGTGCAGACCAATGTACAGCTCACAATTCTAGTTTGTTGGATGCAGCGACCTACACAACTGCAAACCATTTCTAGTTGAAGACGCTTAAGTGGAGCATCCGGCTGACGGTCTTGGCGTCACCCGGTACAACGAGGGCTCAGGTAGCAAAACTTATGTCCCAGAAGGTCGTGCTACTTACATAGGTTTTCGGTCGTCGCAAATTGGTCCGAGTGAGATGACAGGGAGGCGCGATCCATTTGTACCTCAAGATGCGATGAGCGACGCTGACTTCCATGTGAATAACGACTACTGGGGTGAATAAAACACGGATCAAAAAAGTGGTAAGTTCTTTGAAAAATACATAAGAAAACAGACTCACCATGTGCAGTACGGCGATTTGCATCTCCCGATCATCGTACTTATAACGAAGTTCGTGCATTTCATGAGGAATCTCTAACTGCGCAAATGGCCTTCTAAAGGAAGTGTAAGAGCTCGAGAAACTGAAAATAAGAGAAACAGTGATACTCGCTATTAACACAAATTAACTTCAACTCAATGCTACGCGTGAAGTCAACGACGTGTCGGACAGTAAGACAACATATTGTAAAGAATAACTGACTGAAAACAAAACGGTGACCAGAATTAAGAGGGGCCGAAGCACCGCGGTGGTCTGCAGAACGAGCGCAGTGAAAATTCCGTTTGCCAGTAGCCCTACATGCTGGAGGATCATGAACGCCCTGTAGAGATTGTGGACAAGTAGTGTCAACCGAACCTATCAATTTCGTTAGTTTATGGAATATATGCGGGGGAAAAGAAAGTAAACAAGGGTTTCTGAGCTCAGTCACAAAGTCGAAATTCCATAGGCAAGAACGGCACTCGGCACCCCATTGGTGATAAACAAGGCATACACATACACAACCCAGGCGAAAAAGAAGAAGTGGAAAAATGAAAGAGATTGGAGTGGGAAGGGATGAAATCAGAAAGGCAACAAGTGAAACACGGGCCCTAGCCAATTGCAATCGTTTCCAAATATTTCCCGTCACTTTATGAAACCGGAGAGTTCAGATCATTCCAGTAAGTCAGCCATGATACGATCGCCAAATTGCGAACAGGTGCCTGGGCAGTCACTGACGTATCAGTACTGCATTTGATTTGAATGAGTGTCAAAGGAAATTCACAGCAAACACACTACTAACCGCTCTCAACGCTTTCGGATGGTTGTTGTGTTGAAGAGAGAAGTTAGGTCTGCAAGTCATAAACGCGCATGGCGGCTACGTACCAGATGCGCTATATGACAGCAGTCTATTCGGTTGACACAGCTGCAGCCAGTCTCTGTCCCTCTGGATGGTGTTTTGGTAAGTTAGTCTCCACGGTCAAGCAGAACGTGCGAGACACTACCGAGGGTATTGTTGTTTGGACAGTAGTCACTGAAAAAAGTGGATAAGCGGTATAAGATGGTCCAGTTGTTACACGCCAATCTCCGCCTGGTTAACCAAACTATACTGGATATGTCCTGTCAGACTAGAGTCTGATGCCACACACCAACCGGTGGCTCGTCCGGTAGTCTCATCAGGTAAGAGCGATGTTACGCAGCCTACCCACAGTGTGTTCAGTGTGCAATGGGTATGTCTACGATCTACACAATGCTAGTGACCACCCTGCAGGGCTGTGCATATTACTCTGGACCATCACGATTGCGTCTTCAGAAGACCTATGAGTCATATCCCGATGAATACATTGACCGCATTGGTGATGCGGCCACTGGAGACAGAGATGCGTGGACCGATGAACTCCCAAGTGATCACTCCGTGACGGCGAGAAATGTTGATGCGTTGGCCCAGTCCTGTGGCTACACTTCGCAATTTGGATAGAAGCAGCGTGCGACACAAGGTGTAGCGCTCAAGTAACAAAAGAACTCGATCCAGAGGGAGCTTTGGCGTCCGCACATCCTCGGTTAGTATGTCAACAGACCGAAACATCTTTTACATGGGAAGAGAAGCAACAATCATTTATGATCAGTTCGGCCACAAAGTTGGAGAGAAACGGTGATAGACTCGTCAGACGCTCATTGCGTGCCTGCGTTCGTGTGTGTGTGTGCACTTCGGCTATTGGCCGTCTGACATAATGATTGGCAAGTTGATTCTGTGTTCCTGTGACTTCGAGTGCCTTCCATTCCCTTTTTGGTGTACTTACGTGAATAAGCATGTTACTATGCAACTGTGATTTCTGATTTCGACTTCGCGTAACAAACTGGCGAGGGAGGTTGATGCGACCACTAAAGGCGAATTCAATTACCTCACCTCAGCCGTTTGGGAATTATTTCGCGGAAAGGTCTACCATGCAACAACAGTTGCAGTGGAAAACTACACCAATTACGTGGATCTACTTATTCTGCTTGGTTGGTGGTAACGGTACGATGGACGATGCATCAAAAATCAACTTACTGCGTCATAGGCAAGGAGGCGTATCGACATTTCGATAGCCAGCGACTACACACTAAACAGAATTTACAAGCATCATCATCACCAGCACCATCATCGTCATCACAATCATCATCATCAACAGCAGTAAATCAGCCATTTGAACTGACGCTTCGCTGCCATACAACCATAATGAGCTATGAAATAAAGAATAATACGAGGGAGCACTTACCTGAAAAGCTTAATGCCTTAAGCAAACATTCAGGGTAAAGACGCCTACACCTTGTGTAGACAACATACCGTCACAAACTGCTTGCTATTGTGCAAAGATAAGGCGACATCGGCGAGACAGCTTCCTTGCGGCTTTCACTGCCCCGCGTCATAATCAGCCATTACCCCGCAGATAACTCGGTGCCAAACACACTGTAAAAAGGCAATCCGATTAGGAGACAACAGCAGACGCGCCACTGGTGTGGGTTGCGAGCCATGTCCTGTAAGGTCTCGAGCCAAGCACAAGGCGAGTCACGTGGACTCCAACCCGGAAGACGAAACGGAGCAAAGGCACCCAGTTTGGTCGTCAGTGACTTCAGTTCCCGCTGCCAAGTCAACTTCTGTCCACCTTGAGCTTTGCGCCACCCTACACCTGGCAACCTAAACAAGACCCTTCTAGGAAAGCGATCACCAGGCATAAGTAGCACTGCCGTAGCCAGCGAAACTTATTCAGTGCTATCTGTTGTCCTAGGGACTTAGCAAGATTAGCAGTAGTACACGCCTACGAACATCATTGTTGCGGCCACGCTGGTGCCATCCAATACTAGCAATGCTTCACAGACAACGATTATCTAAGAATGAAGGCACCTCAGATCTTCAGAACGAAGAGACCAAGTCTTACTCCTATAGAACAGAACGGCCCTCATTGTGACCTTGTATGCATGGCCATTCAAACTGAGGTAAACTACGTTCTGTCGCCAAATATGCCGTAGGTTCAAGAAGGCAGCTCTGGCCTTTGAAATGCGTCAGCTGACCTCAGTTCCTATGCGCCCATTGCTGCTGATGCAGCTGTCACCACCACCTCGAGTTCCTCGTTAGCAAAGGTCAAGGGGTTATAAGGTGGCTGGTAGTACTGAAGCAACGCTTTGCACTTTGAAGGTGCGATGTGCATACCAATAATGGGACCACTCTAGACATGCTATTCAGGGTTGATTTTGCCGCCGCAACATCGTCGAAAAGCAAGACGATATCATCCGCATAATCAAGATCAATTAATTTTTCACCAGACAGCACTTCAACGTCTACATCGTAAGATTTCCCGATAAACATTCCATGATAGAATCCACGACGAAAATTAAACGAAAATGGGGAAATTAGTCAACCCTGTTGAACGTCACTTGTGGTCGGAAAGCTCTCCGATAGGCCACCGTAGACCGTGACGCGGCCTGTGGTGTTCGAGTATAGTGCACGAAGGATGTTCATATATTTATTGGGAACACATTTCCGCGCAAGTATTTCGAACAGAATTGATTGTTCGACTGAATCGAACCCACTCTTGAAATCGAGGAACACAGCTATTGTCAGTATGCGGTATGCGTGGCGCTGCTCTAGCACCTGCCGCAGAGCGAATATATGGTCTATACAGTCACGCCCTGGGCGGAAACCTGCCTGCTCTTCCCTAATCCGAGATTCCCGTTCCACAGTGAGGCGACGAAGGAGGATCAAGGCCAGTAATTTTGTCACAACTGGTGTTAGGCTAATACCCCTGTGGTTAGAACAGTCTGTGCGGCTTCCCTTCTTGTATAATGCCACTATAATCGATTCGCTCCAATTAGCCGGGACACTTCCTTCCAGATGTGTGCGAATAGGGAGGTCAGTGCTTTGCAGAGGACTTCACAACCATCCTTAAATGGTGCAGATGGGAGGGAAGCCGGGTCAGCGACAGGAAAACGATTGAGAACTGTGATCACGTTTCGGACCTCGGCCTCCGACGGAGGCTCTACACCAACCGTCCATGGCTCGTCCTGCATCACCTGAGTAAAAAGAGGTCCGGGAGCAGAGGGCCAGTTGAACTGATCTTGAAAGTGTTCCGCCCAACGAGCCATATGGCGCTCCTTATTGTGTATCAGCGCACCCGCGCTGTCTCTGATTGTCTCACTGACGCCTGGTTTCCTGGGAACAACGGTGCGGATAAGCTGGAAGAGCTTGCGGCAATTGCCTACTGCTCCTGTCTCCTCCATTTCTTGAGCCCTACTGATCCACCAGGCTTCCTTGTTAGTACGTAAGCTCTGCTTTAGTTCGCGCCTAATAGCCCATATAGTCACATTGTGCTCAGAGCCAGCCGGGAGGTTTCTTCTAGATTCCAACAGGTTCACCGACCTCTCGGATATCCAGTGACTGGTGCGGTGACGATTAATAGTCCAACAAGCAGATGCTCCTGCGTCGTGCATGGTGGCTGAGATCCTATTCCACTGAAGCTCAGTGTCATTAGAAGAAGACAACGAAACTTCGGTACCCAGTGGGTTTTGATAGGCTTGCCTGACCGAGAGCTGAGGTAGTTTCTCAGTTGCCAATCGGAGGAGACGCTTGGTGCGTCTCCCGATAAAGTTCATGGAGAAACGACAGCGTACCAAAGCATGATCAGAGTCGACGCAGGTACTCCAATACGAGCGGCAATTCAGGATGGAACCACGCCACCTGTAACTTATGGCTATGTGGTCAATTTGGATCCATCGCTGGCCAGGTACAGGAGGACGCCAAGTGGCACTTCGGAGCCCAATGTGTCTAAAAGTAGTGCTAGTAAGGAACAGTTAATGCTCCGCGCACAGTTGCAGCAGACGCTCACCGTTGTAAGTCGGTTCGGAGTTAAGCCCATAATTACCACCCAGCTGAGCTTCTGAAGAGTTCAGACGCCCTAATAGTGCGTTCATATACCCTGCAAGTAGCGTGATAACTGAACTAGCAGTACTGCGCAGTATCGCGTTCAGTTCCTGATAGAATGTGTCCTTGACAGCATTAGCACTGCAGTCGGTAGGAGCATAAGTGGAAATCACAAACAAACAGTGTTTTGTACTACTTCGTGAATCAAC